ATATAACTAAACAGTTCCTGCTCCTCATGAGTGTTCTTTTATAGTCCAACATACACTAACAAGAAGCTCTTTTCCGCAACGTCCAATAGCATAGGAAATTTATCGGATATCAACAAACGCTGAATTTCATGCACTTTCGCCTCTATTCTCTCCCAATATACTGATCTGAACAGAATAGAATTCTATTAAACATCATTTTGCGCCTCAAGCCAACCCAATGAACTAAAAAACCAACTTCAAATGTGTGGTTAGTTCCCAAATCTCCAACCTTTCATCAGATAGGTGATCTACTGTATTTCGACTAAGTTACATAGCATATACTTTAAAGTGAAACGAAAGTAAATTTAGAGGTGCTACACAAGCGGAAAATACTCATTGGAACAGACTGAAGTGCATAACTTTATACAATACAAACGGCTTTGTGTGAATAGGACCATATATTGAAAGGGGGCAGAGTCACCAGCAAATGGTTTCCCAAATAATAAGTCAGTCAAAACTGATAAGGTTAGAAAAGCTTTTATTGTAAAACAATCTTAAAAAAGTTGTGTGTTACTCGCAGTCTCCTACACCCACGTGGTGTTGTGTTGTTTGTGCGCAAGCGGGATTATAGGACCCGAAGGATTGACTTTTGTCCATTCCCTGTGGGTTATATGAGTTGGAGACAATGTCCTTTGAGTTGGTGGACGCGCTTGCGACTTTTCAACGTCTGATGGCTTCGGTCTAACGGGACTTGTGCCCCATTGCGTGTTTGATTTACCTGAATGATGCCATTGTCCACGGGTCCACGGTGGAGTCCCATTGTGCCAACCTCTAGGCTATTTTCAATCGTCTACGGGCCGTAGTTTTTGAACTAAATCGAGCGAAATACTGCTTTCTGATGAGATCTGTCCCCTTTTTGGGTCACATTGCGTCCACTGACGGAGTAAAGACTGACCCCACAAAGACTGAGCAGATCCACGTTGGCCAAAACCTACGACCGTAGCTGAACTACGTGGTTCTTGTGGTCTAGGCTCGTAGTACCGTCGATTTATCAAGAATTTTGCGTATATAGTGGTTCCCCTAAATCAAATTTTGAGCAAGCAAACGGTTTTCGTTGGTCTGGCGAATGTGCTAGATCCTTTGAAGAGCTCAAGCGTCGTCTTAGCTGTCCCCGCTGTTGTCCTTCCCTGATGCTGCGGTCTCAGCCTCTCACGTTATTTTGGACACAGACGCTTCTGATGTAGCCGTTGGGGCGGCCCTTTCCCAAGAGCAGGCGGACGGCGACCTTTGCAATGCCCCCTTGGACCCTTTCCACAAGATCGGAC